GGAACCTCCTCAGGCCTCAGACACTGCTGCGGCACCGACCTCCATGCCACCTGGCATTTCATCGGCGGCGCCGGCAGTACCCTCGGCTGAGGAGTACGAACCAACATCACCAGCACACACAGAGCCACAAGACATAGCACCACCAGCGGCAGCGGCAGACACAAACGACACGGCAGCGGCAGATACACAAACCCCAGGTCCACTACCACGGGTCCCAAGCTCGATCTCAATATCCGAGCCAAGCGAGGAGCCGCCTGCTATCTCGGCAGCTCCAACACCTCATGCATCACGACCACAAGCAAGCATGACCCAAGAGCGACCGTCGCTCGATCCGGTGACCGCCCAACTGTATGAGACAGTTGAAGGTGAAACCTTTCAGCAAAGGAGAGCTCGACTGAACAAGCAGGAGACTCTCAGCTTCGCGCCTTTCCGAAGCAGACCGAAGCCACCTGACACGAGGCCATATGATCCTGAACATCATCCACCTCGACCAAATGACGATCATGAGCTAGCTGGCCAGGCCTTCTACCTGGACGACCTGGACACCAAAATGCTGCCTAGCGGATGGTTCATGGATGAACATGGATTCCTCCAACTACATGATCGCACCACCGACTACTGGGAGCTGAAAGCGGGCTGTCTGATCAGGCATCATGTTGTGCCCCGTCGTGGACGCCTACACCTTGAGCATCTTCCCAAGAATTGCCCGGTCAATCCTGACCAGCTGGACAGTGTGCGCGTGACACTGATTCACCAAGGTGGAGGCGAGAGCCGTTTGACCACTGACAGCGGCTATGATGGCAGTCCTCCCCCTGGAGTTGAACACACTTGGACTGGAGCAACCATCTTCCAGCTCAACGGCAATACTCGCAGAGAACTTGCTATGTACAGTGGACACCAACAGTTCACAAGTGCAAAACAGCAAGGAAAGGACCAAAAGCTCGCCAAACAGAAGAAGTTCAAGAAGGACAAGAGCGCCGTGAATGAGCGGGCATTGGGTCCACAAGAGCGAGCGATGTTCAAGGAGGCCAAGGTGAAGGAATTGAAAAGTTTCTTTGACCACCATGTGTGGATCTTCCAGTCCACCAAGGAGGCAGACCCATCCAGGACTTTGACGTCAAGAATCCTGTTGAAGTGGTCTCGGAACCCTGACGGTTCTCCAAGGGCGAAAGCTAGATTGATCGTGCGCGGTTTTGCTGACCCCGACGCCCTGGCTGGAAGCATTGAGACTTCGAGTCCTACCACAACTCGCCTGTCTCGCTCTATGTTGCTGTCCTTGGCCACCACCATGCACTGGACCACCTGGACCGCTGACGTGAGCACCGCCTTCTTGCAGGGGCGTGAACAGGACAGAAAGTTGTGGGTAAAGTTGCCATCGGAAGCGCTGGCTCTCTTGGGTGCAGATGAAGACACCCGCATGTTGCTTCTGAAGCCCTGCTACGGCCAGATCGATGCGCCCAGAGGCTGGTATCTTGAGGCAGTTGACCGCCTTCGCCGTGGAGGTCTTCGGCAGCACGCCCTCGATCCATGTGCATTTCTCATCTATGAGACTGATGATGACAACTTCAATGAGAACGACCCCATCCACCAACAGGTCAACTCACTGGGATCTGAACGCCTGGTGGGTATGGTCATCATGCACGTGGACGACCTTTTGGGAGCCGGCTGCCCGAACAGCCCCCGATATGCTGCAGTCGTTGAACAGCTCAAAGAAAACTTCTCCTTCCGGGAGTGGAAGGAAGATCTTGATGTGATGGAGTATTGTGGTTGTGAGCTGCAGCGCACGCCCGAAGGTGGAAGAAAGTTGCACCAAGGCAAATACTTTGACAAGGTCAAGCCCATTGCCTATGACAAGAAGCTTCCTCTCCACCAGCCGCTCAACGAGCGTGAAGTGACTCAGTTGAGGGGCCTACTTGGTTCACTACAGTGGCCTGCAGTACAGACTTCACCACACCTACAGTGCAGCACATCGTTGATGGCCGCCCATGTCTCCCATGCCACTCTGCAGACTGTTCAGGACTGTAACAGGTTGCTGAAGTTTGCAAAAGAGAACAAAGACATTGGCCTTGTCTACAACCACCTCGGTCCTACAGAGAAGTTGCGTTTGTTGTGTTTCTTTGATGCTGGTTTCTCCACTCGCCTCGACGGGTCATCGCAAGGTGGCTATGTGTTGATGATGGTCAACGAGGATCTCATGCATTCCGCCGAGGAGGGAGAATATCACATTTTGGATTGGCGCAGCTTCAAAACCCCGAGGGTGGCAAGGTCATCTTTGGGAGCTGAGGCACAAGCTGGCGGTCAAGCCAGTGACGCCGTCGATTTTGCTTGTCGGTTTTGGCATCATCTCATGGAGCCCCACATGCCCTTGAAGCAGTTGCTGGAGGTTCAGTCCTCCCTGAAGCCTGTGATGATCACAGATGCGAAAGCTCTTTACGACGCTTTTCATCGTGAAGGTGCAAGCTCATCCGTCGTGGACAAGCGTGTGAGCCTGGAGATTCGTGTGATGAAGGAGCGCTTGCTGGAACTTGGGGGAAACCTCAAATGGATGAGCAGCGATCGCCAGATTGCCGATGGCCTGACCAAGGAATCTGCTCGAACCTTGTTTGCAGCTCGCCTGAAGCACCAAAAGCTGAAGCTCACCTGGGATCCCACCTACAAGGCGATGAAGAAAAAGACCAAAGACGAGAAGAACACAGCCTTGGCTGAGACAACCTCCCAGGTCCATCATCAGAAGCCTGATGACTTCATTCCCAGGTCCGAGGAGATCATGGAAGAGGAGTTTGTTGGCCCGGAGGAGTTTGTGAACTTTGTTCACTCCACGGACATGATTCCGTATGTCCTCGCCACAAGCCATGTCGTGAAGAGCCGCATGAAGTATGACACCAAGGGTCGCTCGAAGAATTTCATGTTTTGGATGATTTTCTTGTTTTTGCTGCAGCGCTGTCAAGCAGCAACTTCGACGTGTTTGGCGGAGGAACCACCGCCACCGTCACAGCTGAGCGATGAGCACTGGTTGGCCCTCTTTGCAGCAGCACCCTTGGCGATTGCAGTGATCGCCTTCCTGCTGGGCCGATGGTCGAAAGGTGAAAAGAAAGAGAAGGAAGAGATTGAAGAGGAGAAGGTGACCACCGCTGACGCCTTCACTCAGAAGGATGAGCCTGTTGTCCATGCACGACTCCGGGAAGCCCTGAAGACCGAGCAGGCCAGAGTGAATGAGTACAAGATGGCAGCTCGCGAGTCTCGCCGAGCTGTGGATTTGGCCATGACGGAGATCCTCAACCTTCGTCCGCTCGTGCAGGATGCTGCACCCATGTTCCGTCGCTTGATCACCGCGATGGATGATCACATGGACCAATGCCCGCACCGACAGCCGATCGTAGCCTCCAAGAAGAATGGCATCTGCTGGCACTTTCCCACGTGCCATTGTGCGGAGCAGATCACCGAGCCGAACCTGCTGCAACTCCGCATCTGTGCCTACTGCGGAGATCATCGCAGTCCGCTCGACTTCCCGAGTCCAAATCCCTCTGTCTCGCAGGGAAACTGCTTGAGAGAAGAGGTGACGACGTGGCTGGCTGACTACAATGTCTGCCGGTCATGGTTTTCCGATCCTGAGCACAGGTAAGAACATCGCCTGTGTGAGTTGTACGCTGTACAACATGCTTTTGACATGTCACCACCCGTCCCGCTACCGCAGGGCGGGCTCATGAGTCGAAAACGGTCCGCGGACGTGACGCGCTCGCGCGTCGTTCAATTCGCTTCGTGGTGTGTCTTGGCCTTGACTTGCTCTACTTTTCCTACTACGTGGGCCTCGACTATACACCCTTCGCTATCCTGGACCTCGTTTGCCATCGATAGCTTCGCATATATCTATATGACATATACCAGCACCTTCAAAGGGGTCACCTGGCTGGTTTCGCCCCAGCCCACTACGATCAGGGACCTCCATTCGACACCCCTTGAAGGTCCAGGTATATACACCATGTTTGTTGATCCCCACACCCAAAGTCAAGTGAGCCATTCGATAAACCTCCGTCTTCATGTTTAATCAGTGTGTTGTCATATCGAAGAAGTGCGTAAGCAAAACCTGCACCCGCGTAAGGTTGCGTAAGCTTGTTGTAAGGAAACCTTTTGCGTACGCCATGCGTCAGCTTTGAAGAAATGAAATACATTATAAATACATGAGCAACCCCTCTCAGAAGTGCTAGGACTAAGGAACAGTCCAACTCCACACATACATACACAATCCAAACTCGAATTGCTGAACACACGCAGTCCAACACCACAGCTGAACAGTCAAACCTCCATGTCAGACATGAGAAACTCCAGGTGATTTTTGTGAGTTCCGGCGCGTAAGCTCCGCGTAAGCTCCGGTGTCCTTTTCCACCAGTAGCCCACATGCCTCCTTCTCCGAAACCGTTGCGTCAGCGGCAGCGTGTGGTTGAAGACCTCTATGTACAAAGTGGTTTGCGCGCATCGCCCTTCCACTTCCACTTCTCCCTTTCCTGCTGCTGCTGCAGGTCTGCTGCTGCAGGTCTGCTGCTGGTCTGCTACTGCTGCTGGTGCTGCTGCTGCTGCTGGTGCTGCTGCTGCCGCTGCTTGGTTGCTTCTGCCTTCGAGCCTTCTTCTTCGTCCTCATCCTCAAGCGCTTCTTCAGCATCCATATCCGAAGATTAGATGTAGTAAATGTCCATTGTACAAAGTATGCAGCGCGTAAGCTCGCGTTGTGGTGTCAGCTGCATTTTGTGCAAAACAGGCGTCGCGTAAGGTCTGCGTAAGGCCTTCTTGCTCCAAGTGTACCGCGTAAGCAAACATGTGAGTCGCGTAAGGCAGCGTAAGCACAAGCGTAAGGCCATTGATACGGCATGGGATTTCATCAAGGTCTTCAGAAACGCTCAAGTCGCGACTCGTTGGTCTCCCAGATCGAAGTCCTCCACACACGGATCGACCATCTTGTTGGTCCCCCGGATCGAGACCGTCGCCACCTGTTCGAGACCACCGAGGTCCATGGCGCAGGACTGGCGCGCGCATGCGCGGGAGATGCCTTTTTGATGGTCCCAGACGAAAGGGGCGACCAGAGGAGTCGCTGAAGATCGACCAGAGATCTGGTAGATCGTGATGTTGGTAGAGGACAGTGTTTGTTGATATGTATCAACCACTCATGGAATGTATCAACCGCTCATGGAGGTCATACTACTTACATCTACTTACCCCCAGTCATGCAATGTGCAATATCATGTACTGTATATTACAATAATGGAGTCATATTGGACCTTCACAGTCTCGGTTCGTTATGGTTCTAAAATGTTCTAAACATCAGCATACGGAACGGCTTTGTGATGCTCCGTTCATTGATCTCCCAGGCCAGGATTGGTTCATTTCATCCAATCTAGGGCCTATAGGGATAGAGAACAGGTTGATGCTCTCTAGAGAAGGTGAAAGGGTTGACCTATACCTGATGAGTCTTGAAGCAAGCTCCTTCACTCCTGGGCCCCCGGGAGCTCGGACACCGGAGACAAAGCCCATCAAATCCCCATGGAGGAGGTTGGAGCTTGAGGTTCCTTATTGGGGCAGCTTGGTGTAAACGTGACCCACTGGCGATAGAAATGGTATGAAATAGGTTTTCAATATGATTGAAGCTCTGGAAGTTCTGTCTTTGAAGAACTGTTGAGCTCGAAAAAGCCTCCTATATATTGATCTTGTCGCTTTGCCCCTGGACCGTCGTAGATAGATCCGTGGGATAATTGTCTCATGCGGACAGTGGCTGAATGTGCACTGGCTTCGGCCTGCAGGCGGGGGGTGAGGGTCCTGGGACTCGGATTGCCCGGTGAACCCTGTTGTAGGTGGATTTTTTCTGGTAGGTAGGTTGACCTTCTGTTCATGTTGGTTTGGGAAGAAAGAAGGGTCCTCTGGTTTGGACCCATAAGCATATGAGAGAGAGAGAGAGAGAAAGGTGGAGACTACCAGTACCCAACTCTACAGGTCTGGCTTTTGGAGACTTAAAGGTGGCAGGTCGTGACTCCTGACGAACAAGAACCACGAGCATTTTGTGCCAGCAGGTTGTCAAATCAATTCACCAGTCTCAGAAGGAAAAGGTAGAAGCAGGGTGCTTCACTGCCTTCATCCACAAACCGTTTGCTTTACTCAATGCTCGTTGACCCTCACCCCCTCCAACGCGAGCCAAAACGTTCTTTTCCTTCCCCATCTGGCGCCCATGTTCGACGACTCTGGGCGCCGGAGCGGCGTCGTGCGATGCACGTGAGCGAACGCAGCAGAACGCCGATCCAAAGATTGGATCTGGTGTGGACTCTCTGTCACCGAAAGAGACCCGGCGGAAAGAAACACCATGGAAAACGCAAAGCGGTCCTCGAACATTTCCGTTGGCCTGATGTTGGATCATGGATATGTTTGGATGTTTACAAAACTATACAAAACTACTAACTACTCGATCAGAGTTTCTGGCTGGACTACCCAGCACTCTTTCTGGATCTCCAGGACCATTTGGCAGGTTCTGGTGGTGTTGGTATATGTGTTCATTGTGTTGCCAATGTTCTCCCGTTGATGTTCATGCGGAAGTGTCGGGCTCATGGCATTTCAGAGAACCCATCCTCTTTTGCGATCGAGAAAAAGGCCTTTCTCACGATGGTGGAGTGTGGTCAGCGGGTGCTTCGATATTATATATATAATATAGATAGATAGAGAGAGAGAGAGAGAAAAAAAAAACACACACATATATATATATATATCAACGCATGCAATCAATAGCCAACAAGCATGATCCATGGATTTAGAGTCACATGCTGGACTGTCCCATGTTGTATCTACTAGAAGAGTCCTGCAGTAGGTCCCCTTCAAGGTGCGTGAGAAGCTCTTTCCTTTGCTCCCTTCGATTCCAACCGTCCACATCGTCCACATCGTCCACTCTTCTCTTTTCCACAAACCGAGCTTCGTACCGGTGTAGGGGACTCGGGCTTCACACCCAACGATTTCTCCCTAAACCCTAAACCCTGAAAATTATAAGAGGGTGGGAATGCTAGCTATAGAGCTGCAGCCACCA